TTGCCCTTCCTTTCTTCCTTCCTTCCTTCATTCCTACCCTCCATTCCTTCCTTGCTTAGAATGCAGTATTGCAGGCTGACTGCCCACTGCCAGGAGTTCAATCCTGACGGGCTCAAGGTTGACTCAGCCTTCCCTCCTTCCGAGGTTGGTCAGATGAGGAACCTGATTGTTGGCGGGGAGGAAATTCTGACCCTTGTAAACCGCTCCGAGGGGGCTGCCAAACGCTACGGAGCGCTATATAAGCTGCTATCGCTATCGCTTTTCCAGGTTGTTTCTCAGTTGCCACGCTCCCACCGGAACGTCTTCCGCTACGTGATGGCCTTTCTGCGTGAACTTCTGAAATATTCCGAGAGCAACAACGTCAGTGGCAACATGTTAGGTGAGAAACAACCGGGTGGATGGGGCGTCCCTCCCTCCTCCCCCATCCCCCCGCGCTTCCCCCCAACCCCTTCGTCTCACCCGAACATTTGCTTCCTCCCAGCCACCCTCTTTGCCAGCCTCCTGCTGAGGCCTCCACCCAACCTGGTGTCCAAGCAGACTTTGCAAGACCGCCAGCGAGCCAACAGTTTCATCCTGGCCTTCCTGTTTGGACCAGACGACTACTGAGGACCTGGCATGCATGCCGTGAGCCAGCCGAGCGGCGAGGGAGGAGAGAGGAAGGCCCGGTTGTTCCGGGCCCCGGGACAGTTATTAACAGGGATACGATGCTTTTCAACACTGCGCGCGATTCCTTGTTCCTAAGTTTCCATCTGTGCCGGTCGCCGGTTGTCGACGCAGGAAGGTCCCTGGTGATTTAGCAGACGATCCGGTTTGCTGATCTTGGCCGGCACGCAGTAACAGTTCCGTCCACTCCCAGTCTAGTACTGTATTTCCTCGCCTTTTGTTCCACCGGTCTTATCCCCTGAGTAGCGAAGGGGGCCAGGATCTTTTCTCTGTTGGGAAGACGAGCCAGGCGCCCACCCTTTATCTCTTCGCCTGCTTTTGTACAATTCAGCTGTCGTCTGTTCCCATCTGTGGCCCTTGCTCACAGCTCGGCTGGTCTCCCATTGTAGTAGCACTCCTTGTATTTTGCAAAACACCACACCACTGCCAAAACAGGAGGGGGAGGAGAGGGGGAGGTCGGAGCGGCAGATCCCTGCTTTCAAGCGAGCTCCACGGACAAACCGGGTGATGGGTTTCCCCCTTCCCTTGAAGTTCTGCAACTTTGTCTTTCCAAGTTCTCCGTCTTCAGGTTTCTGTACTTTGTCCATATTCACTCTTTTTTCTCTCTCTCTCTCTTTCTCTGTCTTCTTTTTTTTTTAAACTGTATAATTTATTGGGAAAGTTGTTTCAAAATAAATCTGCATTGTGCAAAAAGCGTCCTGGTATTTGGTGGCAAGAAGCGGAGATGTGGATCTCTTCACCAAAGATCTGTTGGGGATCCTTAGCCATGCCGGAATGGAGATTTTGGGAATAGAATAGAAATAGGAATAGAATTAGAAATATTTTAGAATTAGAAATAGCGTAGCATAGCATAGAATAAGAGAGTTGGAAGGGACCTAGGAGGTCTTCTAGTCCAACCCCCTGCCTAGGCAGG